GAGTCTGAGAGCTTTCTAAAAAGCACAAACTCATGTAGATAAAAACAAGTGGATACAAGCAATGAAAGATGAGATGGGGTCACTGCAGAAGAATCAAACATATGAGTTAGTTGAGCTTCCGAAGGGAAAGAAGACATTAAGGAATAAATGGATTTTCGAGCTCAAGAAAGATGGCAGTGGAAAGGTGGTAAAACATAAAGCTTGTTTGGTAGTCAAAGGATTTCTTCAGAAGAAGGGAATTGACTTTGACGAGATTTTTTCACCTATTGTAAAAATGGCCTCAATTCGAGTTATCCTTGGATTAGTAGCCAGTCTGAATTTAGAGCTTGAACAGATGGATGTCAAAACAACATTTCTTCATGGTGATTTATATGAAGAAATTTATATGGACCAGCCAGAAGGTTTTGAAGTTTTAGGGAAAGAAAACTTCGTTTGCAAGCTAAAAAAGAGCTTATATGGTCTTAAGCAAGCACCCAGGCAGTGGTACAAAAAGTTTGACTCTTTCATGGTGAGTCAAGGCTATAAAAGAACAGCTGCAGCTCAGTGAGTTTATATTCAACACTTTTTGGATGGCAATTGCGTTGCTCTTCTATTGTATGTAGACGACATGTTGATCGTCGGACAAAATGCAACAAAAATTAGGCAGCCGAAGAAAGAACTCTCCAAGTCCTTCGACATGAAGGACTTAGGCCCAACTCAATAGACTTTAGGAATGCACATAACTCGAGATAGGAAGAATAAAAGGTTGTGGCTATCTCAGGAGAAGTATGTTGAACGAGCGATCAAGCGATTCAACATGCATAAAGCCAAACCTGTCAGCATTCCACTGGCCAACCACTTCAAGTTGAGCAAGAATTCATGCCCTCATCCAAGAAAGAGATAGAGGAGATGTCATCGGTACCTTATTCTTCAGCAGTTGGAAGCCTAATGTATGCCATGGTATGCACAAGACCAGATATTGCTCATGCAGTGGGCATGGCGAGTCGTTTTCTCTCTAATCCTAAAAGAGAGCATTGGGAGGCGATCAAGTGATTCTCAGGTACATCAAAGATATGTCTATGCTACGGGGAAGCTGATCCAATCTTGGAAGGTTATACAGATTCAGATATGACGGGAGATCTTGACAGTAGAAAATGTACTTCATGATTTCTCTACACTTTTTCAGGGGGAGCTGTTTCATAGCAGTCAAGACTACAAAAGTGTGTTGTTTTATCTACAACAGAAGCAGAATATATTGTAGCAACAGAAGCTGGTAAAGAAATGTTGTGGTTAAAGCGATTTCTCCAAGAACTAGGGATCAAGCAAAAGGATTATAAAATACATTGTGACAGTCAAAGTGCTCTAGACTTAAGTAAAAATTCAATATACCATTCTCGGACAAAGCACATCGACATCCGCTATCATTGGATAAGAGAAGTGATGGATCAACAATTGTTAAAACTGGTGAAGATTCACACAAATGAGAATCCAGCAGATATATTAACAAAGGTGGTTTCAAGAGATAAGTTAGAGCCATACAGAGACATATCTGGGATGGTTGTTAAATAACAATTGATTTAAATGCGACTGGAGGGGGAGAATTGATAAGTCCAGCCGCATTCCAACTGCAATTCCAACTGGTTTTTAAATCAGTTTTTTCCTTTTGAAATAATTGAAAATAAGCCATAACTTCAATTGCTTAATGGAGAAGAAACACCTATGCAAGAAGACAATTTGAAATAAAATTCTGCAACCGCAATTCTTGATTGGTTGACAACTAGAACTTTCCTTAATGCATGAACATAGCCACAATTTTAATTACTTCATGAAGAAGGCAGCCCACAAATTTTGACTATCCATTAAGCACCTAAATGGCAGAATTCTGACCATAAATTTGAGAGAGTTTGTAGTCTAATTCCTCTATAAATAAGGGATGTCACAAAAGGAATTTTATACCCCAAAAAGAGAGAAGAAAAATCCCTTGAGAGGAAGAAAAATAGTGTAAAGAAGAGAAAAAAGAGAGAGAGAGATAAGAGAGAGGTCTTTTGAGACGGTTTTTATTTTTTTTAGTTTGTAAACTGCATTGTAAATTCTATTCAAGTAGAAATAAAATTATTTTTCCTCTTTTATTCTCTTCTCGTGATTGGAGAATCACAACACAGACGACCTCATACATCTCGAGTTATGGAGCACCAACTCTTCTTGTTTATGATGTTAACCAGAAGCAATGGAATGGCGCCCCGTGACAAAAAGGTTTCCTCTACAGCTTTTTATTGGTTTTTGCTTTGAACCAATGCTAGAAATTTCTCCATAGATCTCTTCTGCATTGAATATATAATTTGGTCTTACTCACAATCTAGAAATTGATTTATAGCCTTTTTCTATATCAACTTTTTGTTCAATTATGGTGATTTTGATATCTTGGAAAAAGGTTTATATGATATGCAGAAGCCATGAGGCTGTTCAAATATACAATGCAAATATTATTCTACTTTACATTCAAAATACAATTGGAGTGGATACAAATTGATATCTTTGTTTTGGATGTATTTATCGGCTTTTTTGTGCTTTTCAAGATTTGGCAGTTCTTGCTTGAGGTTTCTAGAAGATCTTCCTATTCATAATCTTCCTACCTGAAAATCTTGTTTTTTCTCTTGTTTCTTGTTGCTGCATATTGAATCTATATTATGGGGATTTGTATTTATTGAATATTTTTCAAAATCCATGCATTTGTCATGCTTTGCTTACTCGAGATAGCTACATCTGTTTTTCTTGAGTTAGATGTCTCGTCCAATCCTAGGAGAACATGGAATGATTTTCTCCTGTTCCTTTTCTTTGATGTAACGCTCGAATAAGGGACCATTTAGTTGTAATCAAAGAGGCCAGCTTGACATTGGAACACAATTTTTTGGTTGATTGTATCTCTTTGACATCCCCAGGAGACATTGTTTTTGTATCCCCATACATATATTTTCTTTACTGAGGCAAAAGTCAATTTTGGAGTCTAAAAGTTGCTACAATGACGGACAAAATAACTAATTTTGGAAAGAGTAACCAGTCGTTAACACTGGTCTAGATGACGGAACTAATGACATTAATTACAAGTTCGATTAAATACAAGGAATTATATTCATTTTATAGTATCTATGATATGCTGACACTTAGATTGGTGTTCAATACTATTCTGCTAGACATCATTATTCTTTTGAAAATGTAAAAATTTGATTGCAAACTCTTTAACTACACAGAGAGTCATTCAACAACATTGACCATGAATCCATTACCTCCCACAAAGAATGAGGCATCTTTTAGTGCAATGGCCTTGGCTAGAAGTCGAAAGCCAACCACATGCTCCATGAAGGCCACCATCACAACACCCAAGTGATCCCGAGTGACCACCCCCATCACCAATAACCCCAGTTGACTCCTTTAGCAGCTGCACCAGTATTTAGTATTAACTAACCAATCTATGGAGGAGCCCACCGACGCTACACCCCCTTCCATACCACATTGGCCAAGCTGACAGCCCAACATCTTTGGCAGTTGAGCAGTGCAACCCTCACCACACATTGCCCTCCCCATATCACTCACATCAAGCAACCTATCCGTGCCAAGAAGGGAACAAGCAATTTTACTTAAAAAATATTATTTGGACCAAATAAAAAAATGAAAGAAATTATGTACAAAATTCTAATTACATGTGAGGTAATATAAAACGTTACAAACTTTATTCATTCAATCTTCATTTTTGTTTCAGCTTAAATGCTTCATCCACCTTCAACTAAATATGTTCCCACCTAATTTTCACTTTTTAATATTAATTAGTCCAACTTAGGTGGCGTAAGGAGTAGGTCATGCCCCAGGCTCGGCAGCTTTTTTTGCACTTGTAGTCCCTATTGTATTAGATGTGTGTGGATTCTAGATATATCTTTTCAATTTCTATAAAAGCGTCATTACATCAATAGTTCCTTTGCAATAATGGTTCTTTCCACCCATACCCATTCAGATTGTCTGTTAAAGGCTCGCATGCATTGCACATGCTTAATTTCAGAAGGATAAATTTGTTCAATCACTTAAAATAAAATGAAAAATTTATAATAAGTGGTCAAAAGATACGTTAGATTTTATACAAATAGATGTCAAAAGACTCAAAGATATTAAAAAATTAGATTCAATCAAGATCCACGATATCAAGTGGTCCAAAGAATGTGATCTTTAGTTCTCATCAACTATGCAAAATTAAAACTTCTTTAGCTTTTGTTCGTATAAAAAAATAATGTTCTCTAACTATAGTACTAAATTGGGTATTGGGACATATGATGTTGAGCACAGTTGAGCTACCACCACGTGTTGGACCATGGACCACACTTCATGTATGTACAATTTTCTTCAACAAACTTTTACTTCGTAGGATAGGATTGGCGCATTTATGGATTAGAATAGGGTTGCCTAAACTTAGTTTCAAATTCATAATTTAATCTATTTAATGTACTTGTCTGTACAGTTTAACTATTATTTTTCTTGTGTTAAATTGAGATATTCATCACTAATTAAAGTACATCGAAAATTTATTTTGAGAACCTCCAGTGTTATTATTAATGTTTTACAACATAAATTGACAAAATATTTGGACATAGTTATACCGTTACAATAGAATATTAAAAGAATTTATATAAAAATATGAATATTTTTCATTCAACAAAATATTAGCTTATGAATTAATTAATTGATGTATTCAAATCTAACAATTAATTTGGAATTTGATTAACGCAATTAAAATTAATTTATTAAATAAACATATACTTGAATACTAAAGTAAGGCGACAAAGAAACATACGAAAGCCAACACTGTTGTCCTAACCCCGCAGTGGAGCTCCAACCTCAGGAGGCTATGGTTAGTGCCACGTGTAAGTTTTCACGGCATCCAATGAACTGTAGAGGGTGAAACCTTAATTTACCCTTTTAAGTTTCCCCAAATATACAGTAAAATGATTAGAATCCATCCCACCCACGCCAACCCCCCCCCCCCGCCACTTACTTTTATCCTTCATAGCCAACCCTTTTGAGGAACAAAGCATGTCTGCATGCAATCAAAGCGTTGAAAAAGAGAATAATAAGAGAGATAGGACTGTTGTGTACAAGTTCGATTGAAATATTTATCGTTATAGAATATTCAAGAGAATAGAGAGGCTTTATGGGTTTTGAACAAAAGGGAATTTGAAAATTGAGAGAGGGAGGAAAATGGAGAGGGAAAGGAAAAGTAGGGAGGAATTTGTAGCGAAAAAGTTGAGAGGCGGGAATTCGGTGGTGAAAAGAGAGGGAAATTGTACTCCATCCCCTACATGGAAATTTGGGTTAATTCAACCTGATGGTTCTCTAGTTCAAGATTTCAATTTCCCCCCAAACACTACTCTTTCTGCTAGAAAACTTGGTGCCAATCTTTGGGAGGTACAACCACACCTCACCGTTAAGATGAACAGAAATGGAACTAAGGATAATCATCAAAAATTTGAGGAATTTAAGGCTTCAAAGCAGTTGTCTGAATCCCCTGATAGATCCCCAGAGCAGGTAAGAATTTGGGCAATCTTATAATTTTGAATTCTTGATATGATTGATTTGGATCTTGCTTCATTATTTTCTGAATTTATGAGTCTGTGCTTTGTCTAATTAACATGAACTTGTGTTATTTTTGTATAAATTTTAAGTATTTTGTGGTAATTAAGGCAGCTGTGAGTAAGGTTACTTGATTGTCAAATACATCGTTTGTGCCTCGTTTTCTTCCAAGATACTCGGTTGATAGTAGTCCAACTTCGAGAAGTACGCTTTATATTCTTGTTTGTGCATTGGGGAATTTGTTTCTTCAATGTTTGGTCTTGTTCTAAGTTGAATTTCCCATTTCCAATTGCTAGTCTGGGTATAATTTTGATTATACTTGTGCGTTGTTGTAGTGTTACAGGTTAAGAGCCTGTTTGGGAGTGATTTTGAGAATTGATTTTTTGATCGTTAGAAGAGAAGTGAGGTCCACTTGTGAGAGAATAAATCAAATATGACGGCTGAAATAGTAAAATAACGATCAAAAAATCAATTTTTTGAAGGAAAAAATTACTTCCAAACAGGCTCTAAATTTTGGATTAGACTAGCCTTTTCACTTAAATTAAGATATATTTCTACATGGAAAATCTATGGTTCTAAATGGAAAAAAACCGATAACTTCTTGATATTTCATCAATTCTATTGCTTAGTAACGGATCTAGGATTTGGGCTTGAATTAAGCAGAGTTGTCAGAAAAATTTTGACACCTTGGATGATCTATTCTCACATGTGTGCGGGACGTGCGTGCGACCAATGTGAATAAAAAATGCAAAGAAATGCGCTCCACCCGCTCCTATTGTGAGTGTGTGTCAACTAGGGTGTAAAAAAATTTCAAGCACACTAGCATGATTGTTTGGACTTAGGGATACAATTATTTTGAAATTTGCGAAGTCTAAGTTTTATCTCAATTAAAGATTCTTCAATTCTAAACTGAGGAAACTTTGGAAAACACTGTTTTCAATTAATAGCGTTATTATAAGGAAGATGGTCGGGAAGAAATGAGGGTTGTTTACCACAAGAATGCCAATGGCTTTTTTGAGGAGACAGGTGGCCGGCATGAGGGGTTTTCTGCATTTGTAAACATTCTCACATGGCTAACTAGAAAACTTTCTTGACCATCTAATAGGAAACATTACATGCATATGACCCTTCCACTGGTTAATTCATGCATCGACTGTTGGAGTTTTGGGTTTTTGTAGTTTTATTGAAACGGGAGCCCAACTAGACTTATGGCTGGATATTTTTTTGTTGATCTTTACCCTCTATTTTGACAGGCAACGAGCAGCAGTGGTTTGAAAAACCACGTTTCAGCATTAATGACACAACTTGATCAGAGGCATAATGTTCAACAGCCTGATTCCACTGCTAGTTACTGTAGCTCAATGGAGGTATTTTAACTTTCTACAAAACTGCATGAGTCCGTTTTCTAAAGTGATGTTTTATTTATGTAAAATGAGTGGAGATTCAGAAATGAAGTTGCAGAAATGAAGTTGTAGATGGGCGGGAAATAACAACACACTATTTCTATTTAATGTTGGACATTCCATCTTTTTATTTTTTATCTTTTCCCAATTCTGTGCACTTCACTGCTCTGTAATCCAATGATTTGTTGCCGTTGTATTGTAAAAAAACTCTTCCTTTTGGGTCCAATGTTAGAAAACTTGTTCGCCATATCTTTACTAATTCGAATCAAACTTCTCTTCATTTGCTCTTGGCAGATGGCTCCTTACAGACCGCCCCGCTCCCCAAATAGTTCTTTGGACTCCAAGGGTAAATTAGGCAAGCCAAGTTATAGCCTCCAAACATCCACTGAGTTGCTTAAAGTACTCAATAGGATTTGGAAACTTGAAGAAAAGCATGCAGTAAATACAACTTTAATAGAAACATTGAAAAGGGAACTGGATCGCTCAAATGCACGGGTTAAAAAATTACTGCAAGAGAAGAAAAGAGATCAATGGGAAATTGCTGAGTTGATGAAGGAAATAACGGAAGATAAAGTTCCGAGGAAATACAAGGAGCAACATCAAATGAAAAATGCATTTGAGTCCATTGGGCATGAGTTAGAGGACGAACGAAAATTAAGGAAACATTCAGAAAATCTTCATTGCAAGCTATCTCTGGAACTTTCAGAAGTGAAATCTTTGTTCTCCAATGCTTTGAACGAACTTAAACAGGAGAGAAATGCACGGATATTGCTAGAAGATCTGTGTGATGAGTTTGCAAAAGGAATAAGAGATTATGAACAAGAGATACGGTTGTCGAGGCAGAAATCTCATGAGAATCAAATTGGAAAGGATGGGAATGATCGATTGATTCTTCATATTTCTGAAGCCTGGTTAGATGAAAGAATACAGATGAAGCTAGCAGATGCTCGTGATGTTACAGAAAAACCTTCAGTTTTGGACAAGTTGAGATTTGAAATCGAAACCTTTCTTCGAGCAAAACAATCTGGAAATTCTGAAATTAATGATTTTCAATCCACGGAAAAGCCAAGGGAAAGTAACTTATGCAGGCGTTCTTCAGAATCTCAATTCAATAAAGTGGTAAGTTTGAAGCAAGGAAATGACAGCGCCAAGCAACCAGCAGAAATCATTTCAGACAGTCGTCTGAAATCAACAGAAAAATCAAAACCGATAAAGAAAAAGGTAGTTTCTAGAGAAGTCAAGGGTTCTGATCCGTCCAGACTGCAACTGCAGTCTGAAGAACAAGTTATGCACGATCAACATTACGTGAATGAGGAACCAGCTAAAGAAAACCTAGACGAAAAGACCAATAATTTGCCAAATGACTTAATCAGAAATCCTTCTTTGGCATCGGAAGGTAAGAAACTTCATAATGGGAATGATTATATGGAAAGTTCTTTTGATCCCTCTACATTTACTGGTCCTTCCAGTCCCGTGCTAAAGTGGACGTCCGAGGTAAAAGCTGCAGATCCCAACACGTCGGTATCTTTCTCGAGATGGCCTCGAAGCTTCAAGCCAAATACTTTGCAGGCGAAGTTGCTGGAAGCACGGTTAGAGGGTCAACAACCTTGTGCTCAAGTTTCCAAAGGTTTGTCTCAAGCCGGCTAAACTACAACATGATACATACTCAAAAGAGTTGTTGAAACTGTAAATGAGAATAACCTCTCTCTGTACATGGTTGTAGGAAGTGATCGAATCCATGTCCTATCTCCTAGTCACTGTGGTAAAAAAACTTGTTACACCTTGCAGGATCTTGTAGTAGAGAGATTTTATGTAATAACATTTTTGGCTCTATGATAATTTTGTCAAGAATATGTAGTTAACGTTTTCTGCTGTTTTGGACAGATATGTGTCGAATTAGTTATTTCAAGGATACGATCTTCTTGACGTCTCCAAAAGTGTCACCTTTGTTAAAGTAATAAGTTAATTAGGTTACGGGTAGTTTAGTCTTATTATGTTTCCTTAGTTTTGCACTATATAAACCATTGTAATCTTACATTATGCAATCAAGTTTGGAGGCTGCTATCAATCGGTTTTCTCTCTTTCTCCTCTGTTCTTCATCTTTGGTTTGTTGTTTTCTAGATGGTATTAGAGCGGGTTTGATTTTGGGTTAAACTTGCAAGGTGTCATTCTTCGGCGAGCGGCCTTGTGCCGCTCGTCTGGTAGTCAAAACTTATTAGGTTAACCGACTCTGTCATATGGCTGGCTGGGATGATGTCGACTGTTCTATACCATCCTATAAAAATATTGAAGCCCGGTTTGGATCCTAATCTTTGGATTTCTTTCTGAAAAATTTATCTGCTTACAGTTACATTTGTTGCGTGTCATATCACATCATTATCTATCTCGTGAAAAGTTGAGAAATAAGTTGGAAAAAAAATATGATCTTGCTTTTGTCGAAGAAGATTTGAAATTTTGTTGGAAGTTTTTATTTGTTTTTGCTTTGGGGTGATACGGGTATAATCAATTTACAGAGTTTAAATAAAGGTCTTAGTTTGAAGGCAGAGGGTGATGATTTTTTATATAGGAAAATAGTTTTTGGATTGATACATTAATGGTTAAAATTATAGGTAGAAAAAAGGTGTTCTTCGAAGACAGAAATTGTCTCCTGGATATTGGGAAAGGATATTCTGATAACTGGGGCATAAAGTCGGAAAAAGAAACGAGGAGAAAAACGATTCAGCAAAATTGTAGTCTGAGAGGTTTTTCCTTCTGGGATTTGATTGATTTCTTAATTTGTTTCAAGTAAATTGGTAGCATGGATTATAAAAACCAATAGTCGAAAAGATTGGCAAGTACTTCTCATAGTGCTAATAGAACATCTTTCAATTGTTTGGTTGTGGAGGAAATGGAATTGGGATAGAAGAGAGAAGATGATTGTAGTAGTATAGCATTAATGTGCCTTGCTAGGGCTCCTAGATCGGATTATGCTTCATTGTCGTGCTTGAAGATGAAGTTGGGGAGATTGGGCCAGGTTTGGTTTCGTGGGTTATGGGTACTGGACTGCTGGAGTGTGAAATTGGGTCTATGATATGTGGGTTTTGGTTAATAAAATATGGATTTGTTTATGTTGGCTAGCCGGGTTGATGGGTTTGCCGAAATGAGCCAAAGTTGTAGATTGGGCCAGTTGATAATACTTGGGCTGGTTAGTTATGGGTTGTTTTTTTGTTGGGCCTAAATTTATGCGTTTGTGGTTTAGTGGATTGGTTAGTTGGGCCTGTTGGGGTGGTTATTGGGCTAATGAGCTAGTAATTTAATTGGGTATTTTGTTATATGGCATATGGGCTGTAGCCTGTAGTATATGTTTTAGGTTAACCTATTTTTGAGCAATTGGGCTGACGGTTGGGCTTGAGTTTTATTTGGGCTTTCAATGGATGGATGGATGGAGAAGAGGAGCTAAAGTTTGAAATTTGGGATATTGTTGCTATGCTGATTTTGATGAGTTCATTGTGACGAGAAAGATGGGGATGTGATATTAGCTGTGGTTGCCTTAAATTTGGCATTTGTCGAGCTTGAATATGAAATTTGTGCCCAGTTTGTGGGATTGAAATTTTCATTGATGCCCGGTTCACGAGATTTGGAAATTTTGTTTGTTTGCCCAATTTATGGGATTAGAAATTTTGTTTGCCCAGTCTATCTGGAGTTTGAAATTTGACATAGTCAGTTATTTGTCCAGTCTATCTGAAGTTTGGAATTTGGCATAGTCAATTCTTGAAATTGATATGTCAAGTTCACTTGGAATTTGAAATTTGCATCCGTTTGGTTTAGTTGAGATTGTGTGGTTTCGTTGGTTATCTACAGTGGGTTTAACTAAGATTGTGTGGTTTCGTTGGTTATCTACAGTTCGGCATCATTTCCCTACTTTTCATTGCTCTCCGTCGTTGCAGCTTGTAGACTTTGCCATGAAATCAAATTCGATTTATCATTTACGCTTTTTGTTGGTCAAACTCTCGTTGCTCCTTGTCGTAGCATCGTGAGTTTGAGGGGGATGTTAAAGTAATAAGTTAATTACGTTAAGGGTAGTTTAGTCTTATTATGTTTCCTTAGTTTTGCACTATATAAACCATTATAATCTTACATTATGCAACCAAGTTTGGAGGTTGCTATCAATCGATTTTCTCTCTTTCTCCTCCATTCTTCATCTTTGTTTTGTTGTTTTCTACAACCTTAAGATGGTCAAAGTCATTAGTTATATTCATACTTACAAAAAGGGCTGACATGATCTCATTAACGATGTTTTGCTCTTCATCTAGGAATGAATTCTAAGAAATCACGTTTTGATCATTTAGAGATTATCTAACTATTTAAATAAGGATACGTGTCCAGAGTATTTATAAGTTTTCGTTCTTCATGTCAGACTTCAACTTGGCCCTTGTTTGAACTTCGTTTTTTCATCAAAATACATTTTTCAATAGTGATTTGACATAATTTCAATCATATTTTTCAATAAAATAATATTACACGTAAATTCAAAACTTTTTTCTTACATTTGAACCAAACATTCTCCATCATATCATTATTTCAAAATTCATTTTATGATAAAAATGGGCTTAAATAACCCCTTATCATTCTCGAACGCAATAGAATCATTGCAATGATTGACCGAAGTATTTAAAGATTGAGAAGCATACTTTAGTAGGATTACAAGATAGTTTTTTAAGTTGTAATTTCTTATAATAAAAGGATGAGATCCATAAATTTAATGAAAAGAAAAAAGCCCAATTTTATAATTTCTGAGAACTTATTTATTCTTATCGAAATTTTCTTATTTTTGCCAAAGAAAAAAAAAGTGGGGGGGGGGGGGGGGGGGAAAAAAAAAAAAAAAAAAACTTTTATTTTTATAAAAAAAAAGGGGAA